AATCACTTAACGTGGGTAATGAGATCAGAATAAAATTTTTATAAGACAAAAACAGTTGTTGGTTAGCGTTAAAAATTTGACATAAAAAATGCATTCGGCTCTCTACAAATTTTCCATTCAGTCACCTTTAATACAGTTTCCACTTCGTATACAAATGGGAAATCTTCGAGAAACACGGCAAGTTCAAAAATTCCGAGCGAAAGTAATTATACTAATACAAAAATATATGACTGATGCCACATAAAATAGGTTTAAACTCCTTATTATATGACATATGCCACGCATGCGCACGCAATCAGTATGTGAGACGCCAGGAAATAACTGTTTTTTTTAATGAAAAATTAACAACACCTAAATTCTGAAAGATGAATGATCATGACCACCAAATTATTCGTCATCAAACCCATATTCGTAAAAAAAACATGTTATGATTTTTTTTCCAATTTCCATACTTTACTAAATTCATTATTTAATTAACACTAATAACTCCTAAATTGTAATTATTGTCTTCAAAATTTCACCAAAATACCACCTAAATATTTATTATGGAAAAAGTCGGAAAAAATCAATAATAATGTAAGTATGAAATCAATTCCTCCTACCTTAAGCCTACGACGCATGCGCAAGTGTCCTTACTATATAGGGTACGCAAATAAGTATGTTTTTAATTTTTATTAATAAAACCATTAACTCCGAAATTATGAAACCTTGATTATAATTACCACCAAATTATTCTCCATCGGTTGTAATTATTTTTGAATTGTTTAATCATAACTTCTGCTCATTATTGTTGTGAAAAAAGAAAAACCCATTAAACAAAAACTAATTACTCGCAAAATCTAATTACGTTCTCCTGAATTCCATCAAATTACCACCTAAATATGTATGAAGACAAAAGTTTGAAAAGTTGATAAAAAAAATATATTTCTTCCAAATGTACAGTGCCGTTTTGTGTTCAAACTGTACTTTATTGTTCAAAAGATATATTAGCGCTGTAATCAACGCAAATGTTTAAGGTATGATACAGCAGTATGTAATTAGCCGCAAATTATCAACAATTACAAAAACAAACTGATACAATCGATTGTAAATCGTTCGCAGATGATTGTAAAAAAGGTCGTAATGTTTAAGAGTAGATACCTTTTTTATAAAAAATAAAAAACTTATGACCCATGTAGTTAGCCGCATTTTTTTTTCTAATCATTCTTAAATGATTCTTTTTATTGTAATCGTTTGCAATACGCTTGTAAATACTATATTCATTTGAACCGACGTTTAAGAGTCATTAGTCTGGAAATTATCAGCAATAAACGTGATTGCAAAATTGCGTGGAGGGGATAAGACTTTGCAAGTATGACGGCGCATGCGCAACTATTCAGAGGATTTTTCTGTTATACGTTCAAAAATAGATTAATGTCTTTCTCACTTTAATTTTGAAAGATTTTACTACGGCTGTCTTTTAATTGAACATTGAGTGACCAATCGAAACCATTGTACTTTTTGTAAGTACATTAATAATTATAATAACTTGTTCCACTAATGGGTGACATTTGGGGAACAATTATCGTTTGGGTAATCCCTGGTTATTCCCACCCAAGCTTACAGCTTATGCTGTTAATTTCATAAACCCAGTTAGGGTTGGACAAAAACCTTGAATTCAATACTTACGTTTTTTTGTTAAACAGAAGTGTTAAACTAATGTCTCATGACAAATGTTATAGGGTTCTGCCAGCCCATATTCTGCTTGGGTGGGAATAACCAGGGATTACTCAAACGATAATTGTTCTCCAAATGTCACCCATTAGTGAACAAGTTATTATAATTATTAATGTACTTACAAAAAGTACAATGGTTTCGATGTGTCACTCAATGTTCAATTAAAAGACAGTCGTAGTGAAATCTTTCAAAATTAAAGTGAGAAAGACGTTAATCTATTTTTGAACGTATAACAGAAAAATCCTCTGAATAGTTGTACATGCGCCGTCATACTTGTAAAGTCTTATCCCCTCCGCGCAATTTTGCAATCACGTTTATTGCTGATAATTTCCAGACTAATGACTCTTAAACGTGGATTCAAATGAATATAGTATTTACAAACGAATTGCAAACGATTACAATAAAAAAAATCATTTAAGAGTGATTAGAAAAAAAATGCGGCTAACTACATGGGTCGTAAGTTTTTTATTTTTTATAAAAAAACTATCTACTCTTAAATATTATGACCTTTTTTACAATCATCTGCGAACGATTTACAATCGATTGTATGGGTTCGTTTTTGTAATTATTGATAATTTGCGGCTAATTACATACTGCTAGCATCGACTGTAGCGCCATCATTCTCATGGGAATGCCACTAATACTGACTCGGAATCACCGCGACCCTGACAATCAAGTCTACATACTTGCAACTCTGCTTGCAACGAACAAAATAAAAAATTGACACAACGAATGGAACAGTGCCTAGTAGCTACGTAGTCCTAGCGAGCTTTGTTTACTAAATAGTTGAAGCTATAATTTGAGGAAAAAATCAAAACAAATAACCGGTTGATGGGATCAGTCCATATGTGATCAAATTGGAAACAGAGAGAAAGACAGAGGATACAAGATCGGTAAGCTGTTAGGTTAATTTAACGATAATCTGTGAACTGATGAAATACCAAATTGTACGCCTGCTTCATCCGGACAAATCCTGCATAGAAATACTTTATAACCATTTGTTTGATTGGCAGGTCTTTGAAATGGCTAAACGCAGAAGCATGAACAGACGATGGTCTAGGAGGTCTACAAATATTTCAGCATTTCTAAATGACAACACAAGTATCTTCGAAGGTGAGTCAAATTTGTTCCCCCTAAATGTTTATGGTAAAACAATTCACTAATATGGTAGAAAAGTACAACAGATTTTTGCAACTATTCTTATAAATATATACAGTTTTATATTTCTGTATGAAATATTTCATATAAATGACATTTTTTATTTTGTTAATATTTTCATAACTATACCAAAATAAATCAAAAACGCACTTTTCCAGATGTTTTCTTATACGTAACTAAACATTTAACTAAATCATTGATTTTTCTATTTTTATAGTTTTTTCTCTTTACTGGTTGTATGTAACTGATGATTAAAAAAAAACGATTGATAATCCTGGCTTCAGATTCGAATTTTTGCAATTAATCATTAGCTTGAAAGTTCAACAAGTACGATTATCAGTGAGTTACTTAAATGGGTGTAAAGGCCGTGATGGCAGTCTTCCAAATTATTCAGGCATTACTATTGATTGATAAACATATTTGTAAGGATCATAATTTCTCATTTCTTCACTTTAACAGAATGAATTCAATAGAAACATTCTTACATTGACAGTAAACGGATATTATATATGAGGTTTATTAGAATTTAATAATTCACGAAATTTCATCATCGTACACTTATTTATATTTACAATTGTAGAATAGTTTTTGTTGTCGAATGGAAGCATTGCAATCGTTCGATTTTTCGATTCCCTAATTTGGTCTGAGACCTAAAAATACCAAGTATGAGGGCCACGAGTATGTGTAGATGGTCAACTGAGGGCTAATTTTTACAAAAGAAGGAGAATAAATGGATAAATTAATTTGAATTTGATGAATTTCAGCCCAATCGGCTGAGTAGTTTTTGAAATATCGGTGATTGCTGTTGAAAGATTTTTTGCAAATATCTCAGATCAGAAACCATGCAACCGTTTACATTTTTTATTTTATTTTTTTAATGTTCGGCTCAATATACTCTATATGGACCAGTCAGAATATATATATATACTGTCACAAAGTTTCCGAGATATTTCAATTTTCATGTTTTTCGAAAAAATACCTGATAGTCTCCCATTAAAAAAAATCCATCTATCAACTTAAAATTTGGCAGAAAGATTTCTCTTATGCCAATCTTATTAATGTTAACTTTTCACTTCTCTAAATATTTGTCTTGATCCCATTTGTACGGTAACGTTGTGAAAAATTGATTCATCAACTTGGAATTTGCCATAAAGTTTCTGCTTGGCAATCAAATGTTTGGCATTGAAGCAGCGTTGCCAACGCATGGAGCTCGATCCATGGTACGGAGAGGGGGAAATTATGGTATTGGGGGAAATCATGGTATCCACCGATAAAGTAGGTCTCCCGAAAATTCAAATAATTTTATTCTTATACCCGAGACTCTAGAATCACTGCTTGTACATGAAACTTTTAAATAACAGCAACACCAATATACTTTTATTTAGATATTTTCAAAAATCACAACATCTTCATTTTCTCCTTCTCCATTGCCATCCTTTGCAATTGCGATTTCCTTCGGCTTTTCGTAGAGCGAGTCTTTAGTCATTCTTGACACCATTTCTTTAAGTGGTTTAAAGACAAAGCAGCCTCCATTAGCTGCAATATGCTGGCTGGCCAATAAACTACCTCTAATAGTAGGCACGATGAGACGATTTCTTAGTTTAGTCTTGATGAGATTTACTTTAGAAAACACTCTTTCGCTATCAGCGTTTGAATGAGGAAGTGATAGTATATTTAAAACACATCGAGCTAAATTCTTGAATAAGCAGACCTTTCGCTCGTTCTCCAGCACCAACAATGCCGCCCAGAATAGGTCTGGGTCTGTCTCCAATTCCTTTATCTCGTTACTGAAATTATAGTTGCACAGTTTACGCCACTCGTCATCGACGAGCTGATAGTTCTCTTCATCATAAACTCTGGAGAGCGTGAGCAGCAGAGGTACGAGGGAGGGTGTTTTCTCTCGTTCAGTGTGTGATAGAGCGTACTGGGGCTCCAGACTTTCCAGATTCTCTAAAAATGAATTTTTAAACTCATATCTTTTCCGTATCCCAACATAGGCATGAATCAAAAACTTTTGACATTTCTCACGGAAATAAAGAAGTAGATCTCGTCGGTCCAGAACTACTTTGCTCTGTTGTGCTTGTAGCACCTTGTACACCCAAGTACATTTCTGGCAGTGGGAGATATTGGGTCTTATCCTCTGGGTCGACCTCGGACAATAACCGAGACTTCACATAGTTTCTCTTCATGAAACTATAAAGTAAACTTTCATACAAGTCAACCATAGCTTCATGAAGATCTGTTATAACAACTTTGGCAGACTGGAAATATCTGTTCACTTGAGTGAACTTAGGAAGAGCCCATTGTAGGAAGAAGAAAAACATCTTATTAAATGGACCGATCAAGCCTACATGGATGGATTCAGCAGCTTACAGCTTCGGTGTCATCCACTGGTCATTGAAGTACAGGAGCAGAGCAGGCCATTGTTCGATGATTCTGTCGATTGCTGATGCCAATGACAGTTACCGTGTTTGGGATGGATGTAAGAGTTTATGAACTTCGACGTTTGTGAACATTTGAAACTCTACATATTCACTTTGTCGTTTGGAGCTGCTACTAAAAAAATTGTGAATATTTCGAGCAAAGTCTTCGCAAGTACGAGGTAACTGCTGGCACGCTTCACTGGCCCATATATGTAAAGAGTGGCAGATACACTTCATAATAGTAATGTGTGGGAAATCCCGCTTCAAACGACTGGCTACGGAGTTATGCACGCCCATCATGACACTACAACCGTCAAATCCGAATCCGATGACGTTTTCCAGCGCGATCCCTCAGTCTTTGAAGCTTGCAATGATATTGTTGTACAAATATTCAGCTGTTGCACTCGTCACCTTCCCAGGTTGCAGTACTTGAACTAGGTCCCAAAACTTGGAGACAATTTGACCTTGCTCTGCATCAAAATATCTCACCAACAGACAACTTGTTTTGGTTGATGAAATATCCGTTGACTCGTCTGTCAGGATACTAAATTCAGTCTTCTTCAACTTTTCTGCCAGTATAAATTTTTCAGTCTCACCAATTACATTTTTGACTATGGCAGTTCCTTTTGTACGTTTGATGGTCATTTTTTGGCCAATTTTCGAATCTGGAAAGCACAATTTCAGCAGATCCGACAAGTGGTCCAGTACTTTGTAAGCGATGTTGTGTTCAGCACAGAATCCAGCGATTTTTATTTCTGCAATTTTCGCAGCAGTGTCTAGTGAGTCTTCAGGACAATCTCCTCGTCGAACGAACTGTGTCATTTTTAAAACTTGTTTTCCTTAATGGTTTTTCTTTTTCTTGATGTTTATCGGTTTTACCGTGACTCTTCAATACAGATATGTCAGCAGTGTAGTCGTGGCAACACAATTTACATCTGGCTTTGACAGGATTACCAGGTACACGCGGCAACCAATACTTGAACTCATCTTTTTCCAGCCAATCGTCTCGGAATCGCTGGACGATTTTTCCTTTGCTATTTTTATCTACTTTAGGTTTTTTTCTCGGTGGAGTTCGACAAGTGTCGTCTTCGTCTTCCATAGTCCCTGGAGGGATTTTTTTCGATGAGCTATCAAAATTCTAACCTTATGTTTAAATACGTGAATGCAGAGTGATTGCATTCATCTATAATTACCTGGATAATTTTCTGCAAAGCCACTATCTAAATATCAATAAAATATGCCAAATTATATTTTCAATTCCTGAAATAGGTTTTCGTGAAAAAAGTTCAAAGAGAGCGCCGTCACCTATTCAAGGGTTCTTGCGGGAAATGCGGAAAACGAGCAATCTTCTCAAAAAATTTATGATTGGCCATCATTCGTTGAATTTTTGTCTCGGTGTACGTGATTGGTGGGAAACTGCATCGGAAAAATTTGATTTTATCGACTGAAGGTTCTCCGAATTTTTAGTGGCGCTCTCGACCGCACTAAATACTATCCACGTCTCCAGTCTCGAATCTCAAAGTTTGTGGATATATTGAAATAAACATGAAAATGAATTCAAACAAGAATTATGACGTCTGCCAGCAAAGTCTGAACCTTAAGTTGAATTAATTATGGGAGACAATATCTTCAGGAAACCAAATAATTTGAGTTTCCGTGATTAATCACTATGTGGGTAGTTTTTTTGTTGTTATTTTAAAAATATTGAAATATTCCACTATTGTTTTATGCATATATTATTTATTTGCATCCGAACAATGTCTAAATGCAGGTCAAGACTGTTACCGTATCATTGAGTAACTTTAGAAGAATAAGAAAATATTTTTTCTACACACTATGAAAAATGGCATTGTACGCGTAAAACCTCACTTCCCACACATTGTAGTGAAAAATACTCTTCGATGCTCGCGGGAAAGTGTTTTTTAGACTTGTGGGATTATATCACTCACCTTTGGCTCGTGCTATAAACCTCCCATGAGTCCAAAAACACTTTTCCACAATCGTATCGAAAAATACTACACTGAGAGAAATATTCAATAAAAATTACGTGTATTTTCCGTAATTCTGGAGCGAAATGTGGTTGTCGAAAATTTTACGGAACTGTCACTTAATTTTTATCTAAAGTTACGGAATTTTTCCGCGGTGTTCCGTAATTTTTATCTGAATTATCGGTGAAAAATAACGATACCGTCACTTGAATTTTTCAAATCAACTCCGTAATCGGTAAGTGAACTGAAAGTTCCGTAATTTTTACTAAATATTTCTCTCCGTGTATAATAACGTCATGAAAAAAAATCAGTTCTAAATAAATCCCGCTCTCCTTTCCCGCAAAAAAATGTATATCATGATACCATGATCGCCATATGGTATCGGGCCTAGTTTCATGGTATAGATACCATGATAATGATATGGTTGGCAACGCTGCATTGAAGAAGGGCTGAATCAGACCATTAATTCCTGAAATATTCAACTTTCATTAAAATTGGTTTTCTTATATGTCTGGAAAACTATTCAACCGATTTCAATTTTCTT